ATCTTTTTTTCATGGCAGAACGTACATCTTCCACGGTAACTGGCAACTGGTCGAGTGTTTCCTCGTAAGTGGCGGAGACATCAGCTTCTATGGTAGCCATGATGACGTCTTCATCCGGCGCACTCCGGCAGGAAAGCAATCGGGAGAGAGCATCGGCCTGTCCAAACGATGTCGTAGAGCAGTACCTGATGTCGAAATCATAGGCCAGTAGCGTCAATGACCACCGTTGAAGACGATTAGCAGTATAGGCCGGTATTCCTTTCTTGCTCCCGAAGATGGTGAGTAGAGGGCGATGGTCCGTTAACAAGGTAAATCTTCTTCCATAAAGGTAGCGGTGAAATTTCTTGACGGCAAAAACTAGGGCCAATCCCTCTTTCTCAATCTGTGAGTAGTTCTTCTCTGCGGCAGTCAAGGCACGGCTTGCGTGAGAGACGACCTTCTCCGATCCATCCGGATAGCGGTGAGAAATCACGGCTCCGATTCCATAGTTGCTTGCGTCAGCGGCAACAATGATCGGCTTCTTAGGGTCGTAGTGGCACAGTAGAAGATCCGAGGTCAGGACATCGCGAAGGCGGGCGAAGGCTTCCTGGCACTCCTTACTCCAGACAAACGGTGTGTCTTTCTTCTTAAAAGCGTCCAGTGGTCCGCGAAGTGAACGCATTCTTGGCACGAAAGACGAATAGAATGAAATCATCCCAAGATAAGATTCGAGCTGCTTTATATCTTGGGGTGGCGGCATATGGGCGATGGCAGAAATCCTTTCGGGATCGGGGCGTCTTCCTTCGGCATCGACAACGAATCCGAGAAATACTATACTGGACTTACCAAAATGGCACTTTTCACGGCGAACACGCATTCCATACTCTTGAAGACGTTGGAACAGCTTGAATACGTTCGCATCATGCTCTTCATGCGTCCTTCCTGTGACCACAACATCGTCCAGATAGGCAACGGCTCCATTTATGTCGGCAGTGATGTTGCTCATCAGCGATTGAAAGATTCCGGGAGCACTTTTCACACCAAACGGGAGGCGGTTGTAGCGGAAAAGTCCTCTTGACGTGTTAATGGTCAGCAACTCTTTGCTTTCGTCGTCCATTTCTACTTGCAGATAAGCGTCACGCAGGTCGATATTGGTGAAGACTGTTCCTCCATTTAGTTTGGTAAAAACGTCTTCAGCGGTTGGTAGGGGGTGTCGATTCAGCTCCAATGCGTCATTTAATCCGGTGGAATAGTCGGCACAGATGCGCACTGTTCCATTCTTCTTCTTGACGGGTACGATAGGAGCAGCCCACTGTGAGTAATCGACAGGTGACAATACTCCAATAGCGACAAGGCGGTCCAATTCTGCGTTGACGAGCGGTTCTACGGCAAACGGAACCTTTCGTTTGGGCACGAAGACGGGCGTGGCATCCTTCTTTAGTACGAGGTGAGCTTTGAACTTGTTGACATGTCCTAACTCATCTTTGAAAACTTCTGGAAACTCAGCCATAAGGCGGTAGTCCAGCACCGAAGAGGCATCCACGACACAGCAAGTAGCAGACAAAGCATCTCGGAAGGGCGGCAGCTGTTGAAGCACATCCATTCCTAGTAAACACAGGTCTTTTGTAATGTAAAATAATCCCTCACCATCAAATCCATTGCATGTGAACGGCATTTCATGAACTCCATACACTTCGATCAGCGATCCATTTGCAGCTCTCAATTCGGCAGGAGCGGCCTTCAGGGTTGGTGAGCCTAATTCCATCCACGTCCTGCGGTTGATTGTCGATACGTCAGCACCGCTGTCTAGTTGCATCTTCACGTTCAGGTTATTCAGCTTGATATTCACGTAGCGACGGTGGGAGTTCAGCACGTTCAACTTCACAACTTTCTTCATGGAACGGCGGACTGGTCTGTTCCTTGACGGGCAGTTGTGTTGGCCCAGTGTCCTTTATTTCCACAGATATAGCACGCGTCATCACGGCGGAAACGTCCAGGCGGATCCTTGCTATCAGATGGGCGTCGGGTACGTTGCGGCTGGGGTCGGCGTTGCTTCTTCTTACGGACAGGAGCGACGGCTTGAGCTTGAGCGGGCGTAGGCGGTACAGATCCGATAAGGGCAGCATCCTTCTGCACGGACTGGTAGGCGTTATAGTCGGCAATCAAGTCTTGCAGCTTGAATGTATCGTTTTCGGCATCCAGTTTGCTCAGTAATCTGGCTCTTATTGGCGAATCGCACGGTGATTGCAATCCCATAACGAAAAGTAGGCATTTTAACGGGTCACCTCTCATTTCGTCAGCTTTGGCGTCGACCAGCATCTTGTTGATTCGGGCAGCGTAAGACTCGATATCCTCTGCGGGATCTTTAACGACATGCAAACAGTTCCATCGACGTCGAAATAGCGTTGTCTTCTCTCCAAACAATGATGTCAATATTCTTGTGAGTTCTTGAAATGACAGCTCTAATGGTAATTTCGGTGCCAGATGTCCTCTTAATTTGGAGTGTGTGGCGTTATCGAGTTTCGCGGATAAGAGTGAGCAGCGGTCTTTCTCTGGCATTGATGTAGGAACAATTTCTTCAAATCTTAGTAGCCAGTTTTCAAAGGTGCAGCCGCTCTCGGGATCATAGGTGAAATATGGTATTCGTGACGAGAGTGCGGAGAAATCGGCTAATGTCGGTGGGGTAGCAGGATGTTGCAGTCGTTGTAGTAGTTCCTGGTTGGTCTTCATGAGAGCAGTGTTCTGTTCCATTAGCTGTTGGAACATTTGCTCCAGTGATGCTGTCGATGTAGTTGTCATCTTCAATTCTTGTTCGGTGGGTTGGTTCGGGTAGTCTTTTTCCACGCGATCCGTTTGCTGATCGCCAGTTGTTGTGGTCTTCTATCTTTCTGTGGAGTCGGGACACGAATAACAGCAGTGCTTTATCGGCGACTGGTACAATGACAGACCAGGAATGGAGAAATGGAAGAATGAAGAATGAAGAATGAATATTACCGCAAAAGGAAGCTCTTATATAGTCCTCTAAGGATTGTTGTAAACAACACAAGAGATATATACAACAGAGGTTCATTTACTACCAGCCTAATATCACTCTACAACAAAAAGATATATCAATGCAGAGAAGAACAGGCTAGAACAAGAATCCATTTTCAAGTTCAAAATTTAAAAAATTTGAGAAAGAATTGTTTGAGAAACTCTGCCGCTTATACGCCAGGACTAAACATGAATTCAAGACTCTAGCATCTTCTTCCCTCTTTTTGATAACGCAAAAAGCTAGCAAGGGAATCATCAGAAGTCGAAGTGGCTAATCACAAGCTGCATATCTTTTGATGCAGCATAGAACGCTGATTTCAAATCTCTTCCATACTGCAGAACGCCTTTGTAGGCGAAGTTATGAGCAGCTTTACTGCGAAAAATCTATACACAAAAATTGCAAAAATAGGCACGATTGTCTTTTTAGCTCACCTTCAAGTACGGGCCATATGAAGCGACCTAGTTGCATGTCTTGGTCCAGCATCGACAATGGCTCTATAAAACTAAGTTTGCCTTCTGCGCGCACGATTTCTTAGCAAAATAATGGCCTTCAAAGGTTTTTAACTTCATCCACAGAAATGTTTTGCCGATAAGGAAGGCAGATTTGAAGTCAGCATTTTACGCTGCATCTAATGATATGAAGCTTGCTTGAATTGGCCACTTCGATTTTTGACCATTTCCTTCTAAACAGATTGTTTAGTACTTCGAAAATCTATGTGCCTGCATGCTGAAAAGCTCAAACAGTTCCCAGTTTGACTTTGTGCGGAAATCTGACGAAAATTTAAATAGAATGGATTTTATTCTCATTGTCTAGTCTTTCAAATTTGATGACATAATTACCAAAAGATTCGAATGTCAATTTATTGAGGAGAACAGTGCAGTTAAAAGTAGACGAGCCGTTCTCCAATTCTAAGTGAGAAACTGTTTGAATTGGAAAATAGTGAGTTGCATGACAATATAAGATGGTGTGTGTTATTAAAAGCACCTTTGATGATGCTGAATGAAAATCTGGTGTTTTTATTTGTTGAGCTACTTTATGATTGATTTGGGCTTTAGATGTGTGAGCGTATTGGAACGTCAGTGGGTAGATAAAAGTGATCTTAACTGCGAGCGATTGCAGTGCTTATGGTCAATCTAACGTCAGACACACGGCCTTCAATAACCGTCCCTCTCAGAAGGGAAGAATGTTTGATTGAAGTGGCCCTTCAAAATGAGATGGCACTATCTTGGAGGGGTTGCTGATTCCAACGTGCCCTCATCCGCGGAGAGTTTCTGGGCGCGAAAATTTCAAAGCAAAAAAATTAAATAATTAATTAAATTCAAGTTATCCATCCCGAAACTATCATTCACGAAAGGATAAAGTGTATAAAGGGTTATTTTGGGTAGATCATCACGATTACATACCGCCAAGGGAAAGGCGTTCAAAGGATCGTAAGTCGTTAAAATTGGGACGGTAACTGTTTTTTTTTTTGCGAATGCAATTTGGTTGGCAAGGAAACTTTCGTTTAGAAAGGATTTTAGTATGAAAACTTCCACAAAATCCTTTGGGTGCTCGTGTCTCTCCATGCCGAGTTGTAAACCGTCTCATCTTTTCTCAGTTTCGTTTCCAAGCTCCTGGGACGTGACTGGCGGGACAGTTTCACCAAAAATATTACAGTAGACAAAGTCGTGACTGCATGGCAGTTTATAGTAATAGATTGGAAAAAGTTGGAACATCTAATACAATTCCTTTCGTCTGATAGCAAATCTTAGATACATCAACACAGGGCATTGTTCGCCTCCCTTTCACAAGATCGCATTCTCTGCTTAAGTGACAGTTAAGGCTTTGATCAGCATTTCTCGCTATGAACAACGAATGTATTGTCGATATTTGGTTTTTGAAACTTTTCTTTGTCATTCAGATTGTTCAGCCTCAGATCAATGAACAAAAAAAGTATTTGAAAATTCTATAAAAGACATAATCTCCATGGAAGGTGTACATTAGCAGCATGTATTGCTTCCTGCTGCTCATACTGCCCTCCCAGGTAAGGGTAAAAATGCATTTGTTTGAGGATCGTCTAAATCATGCCAGATATTCGAATATTCGTTCGAAGCTGAAGCCGAGAAGCAATCACCATGGACACAACGAAGCAGAATAGAAATTACTTTCAAATCTAGTATAACAAGCAACAGTGGTATCGATCACAACGCCCGAAGTCTTGTAAGATTCCTAGTTTTCTCCATTATTTTTTCAATCGCAGTGCATTAGTTCAATGATTATGCCATAAGAAATGGTAGCACGCTTGAAGAAATAAGTCTACGTCGTACAAACGATTGTCCGGGCTTAGAATCAGTACGAAAATATGAAGCAAACGTTATGGACTGTCACGAGGTGAGAGCATGGTTTCCAAGCGAATGTAGAATATGTGTACTTTTTCAGTTTCAAATGTATCTCTACGACCTTAGACCGCAACGATACTCTTTGAAAACTGCTTATGTCAAGTGCGATCGTATGGCGTCCGGAATATGCTTATGGTACACCTGTGCAGATAAGGATTATCAAGACGTCATCAGCTGCAAATAGTAGTGAAAGTGAATAAAGTTTGTGATTTACTAATTTGCTGTGCAGCGCATGATGTCAACATTTAGATAAAATCACAAGATATTGCGGAAAATTCTACAATAAGGCAAAGATTTCTAGCGAAGTGGCCTTTCCAAATATATCTATAATATGAAAAGCATTGAACACGAGTTCGATGTGCTTTTAGTATATGCTGTGCGCCCCGTTTTGATCAAAATATGGATGCGCGACTAGGAAACAAATCCATTCGGGGCCGCATAAATGAGCATCGCTGGGGGACTGTAGTACTTAATTTGACAGATTCTTTCTCTATTTTTCGCTCCGGAACGCAGTCGAAACTCGGCATTCTGAGAGTATAGCAGATACTGAAAGCACGGGCAATATGTATCAATTTCGTTCGGGTAAGTGTTCCCGTGCAGGTCGTAATCCAGTCAAACCGGATGCCCATGCCCATGATGAGCGAACGTAGGCCCCTGAGCGTGCAAGAGTACGGTAAGGCAAAATCGGGTGAGTCTACACAACGCCAGGACACCTATCCATCTTCTTTGTGTATAAATCGTGTAAAAAAGAGCGTCTTTAAAATTAGATAGCCGGAAACATTAGCAGATCGAATACTAGTCATCGAGAAAGATTCAACAATTGGTATGTTGCAAGATGTTGATTTGATTTTATCTTGAGACTATCTGGCTTAACTTTGCGCGATAAAATTGAATAGAATTGTTAAAGGTAGTTGATAATTCTAAAAACTAATGCTGCATCCCTAATCAGTATGTTCGATTTCCGCCTGTGCCAACGCCCAGCCCCGCATCTCTAATTTTGCAAAAAATCGATAAAATCAATGTCGATCGATGACAAAAAGTAGCCTATGACACCCGCCCGGCCCCGAAGTGTATGTGTGTCAACTTTGGTCCCGATCTGTTCAGAAATGGAATTTTCTATTCGGAACATACCTACAGGCAGACATACAGACAGACAGACAAACAGACATCCAGCTTTATATATAAGATTTACAACAATATCAGAGCCACTGGAGAGACCGGATTATACAACTTTTGTAAATTTCATGATTAAATCATATTTCTGTATGGAAACAATTCCCGAACGGGAGATTGATAAGTACAGCCCCAAATGTTCAATTAGCGCTCGATTTCTCGCACAGTATGAAGCTAGTCTAAAAAAATCTCCAGCTTTAAACATAATTTTCCTGAGCATTTAGTACACTTCATGTCCAAAATCTCTGCTATACCTTCGATACGCAGAGCCATGTACCCTGATAACTTTCACCCTGCACCATAAAAGAATGCACAACCTTAAACTGTATAGGAGAAGAGATTCGAGGTGAAGCCCTGGATATCAAACACAGAAACATGTCAAAAATATTTGTGAATGAAGAGAGCAAGCAATAACCTGGTAAAATATTCAGCACCAACAAAAGTGCGTTTTCATAGTTTTTTTCGTATCAAAAATTTTTTTTGTGAAAATTTGTCTCAAGAAAAAAATTCTCTTCTCACCACAACGGTGCTTTCACAAAGCCATTTATTAAACTTTAAATGAGCTTCGGCGGTTCGGGAAATGATGTTCGGTAAAAGCCAACTGCGTCAAACTCAAAGGCAGAGTCCTCACAGGTTTGATGATTACAGGAAAAACATAGATTGATGCATTCCCACTCTGATAAGCTCTTTCCCAAGTAGCGTCGCTTCAATTTGGTTCTGAAGCGAAAATCCGCTTCAGAAGTGGCGACTTAGACGCCTCGGCGACCTGCCCCCTCAATCGAGAGCCATAGTGCCTATATTGTCCACAGTCAAGGCGTAAGGTCCCATCACGACTCTGCGTCTTAATCTCGGCGGCAGGCGTCCCATTGTAAAAATAGGGGCCTTGGGAGTAGCCCGTTTTCGACATTTTCTGCTCCGCAAGCAGCATTTTCGAATTCAGCGGAAAGGATAGGACCAGGTAACGAAAAAAACTTTGTTGGAAATTTTGCCCGGATGCTGCCTTTGAGCAAGAGCTGCATAATAAAATGCGGGTTTGTCTCATTGTAGAGTACTTTTCAAACTCGGCGACGTTGTCAGGACATCCGATCGTCTTATAAAAATCACAGTGATATGTAGTGCAAAGAATTTTGCTGGAACCGCGCAGATCCAAAGCCAAATGTGCGTTGGCTATGCTATTTCCCCTCTGCTCTTCTGCGCCTTCACCGCTACCTCGTTACCCCCACGACCTCTACGAGGCATTTGACTCTAGCACCTTTTCTACACTGTTTCAGATTCATTTCCGGCAACTCGTAAATTATCTTGTAGTTGTTAATGTTGATTCAAACGCTGACAACGTCGGTGAGCTCCATTTTTGATTTGAACGAGAAATTTAGCAAAACTCCTTTTCTCGGAATCCTTTAAATTTTTCTCCAATTTGACTCCTTTCAAAGGTTTTTTCTGCATTTGAAAGACCTTGCCTTTGTCTATAATGTAGACAACGTTGGCAAGCTTACCTTGTAAAATTTTTGGTAAAGCTGCAAAATGTAGGGCATAGTGTTTTTTTCGTAGTGAGTATGCCCAAATTTCAAAAGTGATCAAACGTCTAAATATCGCATCATGAAAGTTTGGTGTCATTCAATCCAACTATACTTAAATTGAAATATTCCCTTTCCGTGCCTAGATTCTGTGAAAAACTGGGTGGAAGGAGATCAAAAATTCCGAAGCGTACAAGATGCGCTTTCCCATAAGTAAGGCCTAAAACTGATGAAGTCTTCATTGCAGAGTACGCATGTCATTGAGCCACGAAGCCATTGAGTGGCAACAATATTTTCACAGGTTCAATTATCCTAGGGCTCTACTGATGACCAACTGCATTGAAGAACTCCGATTTACCGGCAAGACGTAATAAACTAGAGGGCATACTTGGGTCGAGGTTTTCTTAGATGGACTGAACGATGTGGTACTAGAAAGCAACCAACGTAATCATTTCTGAAGAAAATAAGAGTTAATATCATCTTCTCTATGTAAGGAGACGAGACCGCATTGCGGACATTGTCTTAACAAATTCGAGGTTCCCTGTTTCCAAAGAAAGAATAAACCTGGACGAGATAAATAGCAAGTATAAACGTGCTGAGCACACGATTAGGCTCGTATAGACAATGTGTGCAATGCGGTCTCGCGCCTCCTAGTCATAGAATGAATGACAAAGCTTACTTCGGTAATTTACAAATGATAGCAAAAAGACTTATATCGCTATATTCTTGACAAAAATACACTTCATAGCTCCTTTGATTGATCTTCACTAAGCAGAAGTGTCTTACCGCCTCAATAAAGGATAAAGGATAAAGAATTCGGCGTCTTCAATACCTTTTGCGATTGAAAATCATTTCTCAAAAATTGAAAAATCTTAACTCAAGAAGAGAAGGTCCTATGGAAAGCTAGTGTAGGGTGAACGAACATCGTATAGCGCACCCTTCGCGAACAATGGTCCTAACACGATATGCAATAACTTTAGCGAAATGAAAAGTAGTCCGCGAATAGTAGTATCGGAGGTATATGTTATACGCTTGCAAGTAACATGGAAAACTGATATGCTCCAGCGCCTTAAGTCAACTTACTAAACAGACAATTGTAAAAATCCATTCATAGTGATGGATTGGAAAAAGCTATAGAACATCTAATGTTATTCGAAAATTTGGAATACCCATAGCAAATCTTAAACACATCAACACAGGGCATTGTTTACCTCCCTTTCACAAGTTCGCATTCTCTGCTTGATTGTCAAATAAGGCTTTGATTCACATTTGTCGCTATAAATAATGAGTGTATTGTCGATATTCGGTTTCTGGAACCTTTCTTTGTCACCTTCTGATTGTTCAGCCTTAGGTCAATGAACAAAAATTACTCAAAAATGCTATAAAAGACATGCTTTCCATGAAATTTGTACATCAGCAGCATGTCTTGCTTCCTGCTGCTTATTCTGCTCTCCCAGGTAAGTGTTAAAATGCATTCTTCCAAGGATTGTATGAATTATGGCAGATATTCGAATATTCGTTTGAAGCTGAAGCAATCAGCAAGCAAGAGAAGCAATCACCATGGACACAACGAAGCAAAATAGAAATCACTTTTAAAGCTAGACCACGTATAAGCAATAATGGCATCGATCACAACGTCCGTAGCCTTGTGAGCTTTTTGTTCACCCTTGCCATCGCCTTTCAAAACCTCAATACTTCAGTTCAATGACTATGCTATAAGAAATGGTATAACACTCGAAGACGTGAATGTTCATCGCATAGATGATTGCTCGCAACTGCCATCAGTATTGAAATACCAAGCAAATGTTATGGACTGCCACGAGGTAAGAATATTTTTTACGCAGCAATGCAAAAAAGAACTCTACGTTTCAGTTTCAAATATATCTGTACGAGCTCAGACCCGAAAAATATTGTACGAAAATTGGTCATGTCAAATGCGATCGTATGGCGTCTACGATATGCCTACATTACACCTGCTCAGACAGCGATTACAAAGATGTGACCAGTTGCACTTGATAAAGAAGAATAAATTTCGAGATTCATCAAGGAACGCATGATGTGACTCACCCAAGCAAAAGCACCAGATATTCCACAACATTTTCTAAGCATCCCAGACAAATGACCGGAACTTCCGCAGAGCGCTTGTGGAAGTTCCGCCGGATCACCTGCGGAAGTTCCGTAAATGTGCTGCGGAAGTTCCGAAATGAGATCCTGCGTAAGTTCCGAAGAATGCCAACCACAACAGCAAAAGAGAACACCGAATCGAGATTTGAACCTCACTCTATTGACTGTGAGACCCACTTACTATCCTCTACGCTACGGCTGACATGTTCGATAATGCTCTAGTTGTTGGCGAGGCAACATCCCGTGACAACACATTCAAAGTCCTGCGGAAGTTCTGGCAGGCCAAAGTGCTGCGGAACCTCTGGCGTTTTTCGGAATTTCCGCAGGATTTTGAAGAAGGTTCTGCGGAAGTCTCGGTTTTCAACCGGTTTGGCATGAAAATCCCGCGGAAGTTCCAATTTTTAACGTTTTCATTTTTGCAATAGTGAATAAAATTCTGCGGAACTTCTGCAAATTTTGGCTTGTCCTGCGGAAGTTTCGGTGTTTTGTCTGAGATGTTCTACAGTACCTAACATATCTACAATACGCAATACATAGAAGCTCGTTGCTTTCCTCTATCAAAAATCTAAGCTAGGTGGCCAAAAAGCAGGTGTTCAGCATCTACATAAGAAGTTTGTTTGCAAATCACAAAGATGTTTGTTGACCGGTTGAGCTAAACTTTGTCCCCCTACAAGCAACGGCGGATTTCAGCTAGTTTTTGCGGCGGTTCGCTGTGCTGCTACTGAATTGTTGATCACATCTAGAAAAACAAAAGTTTATCAACTAAACAAACCAATCCTTCACCACTGCTTCGCAGACGCTGGCACTGGCCATCACAGAAAATGTAATGGGTAATGTTAGAGTAAACTCACGCTTTAATAGCTTGTTTCTCACGTCATTCCAAAGTTGCCTAAAGCGAGCGCCCCTAAATGAAAATGAACCACCCTCGCTATCAGATGTCACATGCTTAAAGGCAGCGTCCAGGCAGATCTGGACCTAGGGGCTTTTACGTGGAAAGTACTTCTGGGGCCCTAACTAAGGCACTGCTCAAGCGGCAGCTCAGGTAGTGCTGTAATGGCTGAGATATCCCCCTCGAAACTGGACCCCGCGACCGTGTTTCGCATGGATTCATGGCGCAAAGCGTGGATCCTGCCGCGAAACTGCCATGAATCCATGCGAATACGTTCGCGGGGGCCAGTTTCGAGGGGAATATCTCAGCCATTAGAGCACTACCTGAGCTGCTGCTTGGGCAGTGCCTTAGTTAGGGCCCCAAAAGTATTTTCCACGTAAAAGCCCCATAGGTCCAGATCTGCCTGGACGCTGCCTTTAAAGTACTGTATCATTCCTCACTGTAATCTTGTTACGGACAAACTCCACACAGCTTCAGATTGAGCGGCTGATTATAAGTCAGCTAGTTAGTTTTTCTAGTCTCGCCCGGGTCGCTTCAGCTGATTCGGCACGGAATCGTCTGTGCGAAACTTGGAGAATGAAAAGTAGAGTCAGTCGTATTTTTCTCATCTGCGAGTCCGACTTTCCTCCCTCCTCCAACATGCTTACTTTAACCCCACTCCCCTCCCTCCCGCCTAGCCTTCGCCCTAGCCAAAATGCTGCGGTGCAAGGGGTTCCTGTAATGAAGTGAACTCACCCGTTTTAGGCCTCGGGCAGAGTTCACGCGATTTGATCGTCGCGATTCTATCACTAAAGGCAAGTGTTACGAGTTCATTGCATGCCAATCTTCTTGCATTTCGGTTGTGATGGTTTTCCAACACGACTAATCGTGACTAACTATCACAACCGAAACACAAGAAGATTGGCATGCAGTGAACTCGTAACGCTTGTCTTGTAGCGATTGAATCGCACTCTGCCCGAGGCCTTAATTTAGGCCTTCGTCCCAAATCATCACATCCTTCCTCCCGCGAAACTAGAATGAACTCCATTATCATTGTTTACACGAAATTATGGAAATAACGCATTGCCAATGCCGAGGACTCATTTTTTACCGAAAACAATAAATCGATGGAAGAACCCAGCGAATTGCCGCAAAAAGTAGCCTAGCACCACCGGGGTCGAAAACATATGAGTGCAAAGTTTCAGCTCAGCTGAATCGGTTTAGTAGCGCGCGTTTCTATAACGAATGAACAACTAAACGAACTCACTGACAAAGTTTGAGTTCCGTAGTGAGAAGCTGCAGTGAGAAGGATGCCGTGTTATAAAGCGAGTCACGAAGGAAAGCAAACGCTGGAGTGCACTGCAGATTCAGAGTAGGAGCAGTAGAATTAGGAAACGCGAAAGAAATGAATTGAAGGAAGGATAAGTCATCAACGCCATGGACCAAATATCATGTATCCTCCACCAAAACAGTTTGAAACAGTGATCTGGCGCCAACTATACAGAAACCTAATGCAGAAGTGCAGTCGCTGTGAGTGTGTTAGTTTTCAATATTTTCAGCGGCATAAGTTGCTTTTTGAGGAGAAAATAGACAAGTTTAGATACTATACTGCTATTCCTCATTTATCCTCCCATATGCGTTATAATAATGTGCTAATGTCGTTGCACTTGATTTCAATTTTTATCGGATAAGATATTGATATTGATAAGATATTGTATTGTATAAGATATTGATATTAATAAGATACTCTAAGACGATGTGTGCTTTTTCCTCTTAAGCACTTAATCTCGCAGAATAGTAGGCAAAAGGCGAATTTTACGCATATAATGCAGATGTTTCTCCTGTTTTCATTCCTTACATTTCAAGCTATGGATCGGTAGCATTTTCTTCAGTATTAACCACTAAAATGCGAGAACTTGTAGTCCTTGTAATGTAGTAATCCTTCATATCTCCTAATCTTATGATTGTTCAATCAAACTCACTAAAAATAGATGTACCCTTTTGGGAGCTTAGCAGGGCTGCAGCCAACAAATTCAATTGAAATCGATTAAGTACTATAATTATTGCTAGATAAGCTGTGGCGCAATCAAGCTCTTAATAACACTCACTACTTCGCGCACTCTTGTGGCCGGGAGTCGACAAAAAATGGGTGGAGGTAGAAAGGCAAAATCCAAGATTCGTACAAGTAAATAAGGCTTAAAGCTGAACTCACTTGCAACGATGCCTGATCTTGCGCTACAAATCCTTCAAAAAAATTGCAAAAATTTTTCTGAGGTTCCTCAACTATTCTAGGACCTCCGCTGTCAATTATCTACATTATTTTTATCATTTAGCGGCAACTACATTGGAGTTAGCTATAGGGGATATGTATTGGTCAAGTTATGGTAAATGGATTTGAATGCTACAGTACTAGAAGACACCATCATTTTTGAAGAGAATTCCAGTTACTAAAGCAAACCTACTTTTTATGTTGTTCGAAAACTTCCATGTAAAAGAAAAAATGATTTATATCGCTGTACATTGCAGGATAATCAGTAAAAGCGAATTTCTCTCGGGTTTTTGAAATCATACATAATCGGTCAAAAATACATTCAGTAGGAGCTAAAGTAGCGAGCGGGTTGCCTCACATGGAAGAGCAATAAAAAAAGGTGTTTGCTAGATTTTGGAAAGTATCCTTTGCTCAGCGAATTTCAATGCTAGCTTTTCCTACAAAAAACATTTGCGCGATCCTTTCCACATATGCTCATGCTCGAACACAGAAAGTTTATGAGAAATGCTTATGCGCTTTGTCATCTTCTCTCCTTATTACTCATAAACCTCAACATCAAAATAATTGAAAAAAACATATATAAAGGCATCCGCCAGCAAAATTAATCACTTCAAAAATGTCTCGTCTTTTGCTTCTCGTTCTCCTTTGCCAGGTAAGTTGTCAGGTGGGTCTTCACACGAACTTTTAAGGGACAAAAAATGGTACTGTAATTGTAAGGTTGTGACTGATCTAACAAGGAAAAGTTCCCAAGTCAGCTCGGCCAACCCGGATGAGTCATACATCACCGTAATGGGCTTGAAATGCTGATTTCAAATCTGCTTTCCTTTTCAGTGGAACAACTCTACGAAAGAAGTTTTGAGGGTTCGAATGTTTGAAATTGTCATGTTTGAAATGGCTTATAAAGTTAGCGAAAAGCTCTGAAAAAAAAAACAGCACCTAGCGAACTTCCACTGGCTGTTTTCCGTCCTTGTAGTCAGTATACTTGATACAAAACTGAGAACCCACTTTTTCGTGATTTTCTACACCTTTCACCAATTTTAAGCCACTTAAGATTGACAAATTTGGATTTCTAAACGCTGATAAATTCTTTTGTAGAGTTGTTCCGCAAAAATCAAATTAAAAAAGCTGACTTGGGAACTCTCCCTTGTGATAAGTTTATGAGAAACTGTAATAGAGATTTTCCACATTTTCCACATAACTGTAGTCAATAATTTCACACAGATCTTTGGGACATTTTCCAACACCACCCGTGTTGTACCATACTGGAATCGCAGAAGCAAAGTGGAAGTAACTTTAATAGCCGAAGAAAACACTGGACTGAGTTTAGAGGATATCTACGACAATTTCCAGGATCTTGTGAGCAGTAGCATTTTTTTGCTCAATCAAACGCAAACTTTGTCATTACGAAATACTTCAGTTTAACGATTATGGCAGGCGGTATGGCCTTCCTTTCACTAAAAGAAACCTCCACAGGGTGGAGGATTTTAAATCACCGAAGGAGACTCCAATGGCAAAATTTGAAGCTTACGGTGTCGATTGCGCTCAGGTATTGTAGGAGAGTTTTGTCTTTTGTTTCATATAATTTTTTTCAGTTTCAAAACTTCCTGCAAGAAATAAGAGCATCGAACTATCGCTTGAAATTCGCACATATCAAGTGCGATAACATGTCGTTCTCCATTTGTAAGATTTTCCGTTGTCCAGAAAGTGAATTCAACGGCTTGGAAAGATACATATGCCAACATTGATTGCCCCAATTGAGGCTTGAGAATGAAAATTTTGTGCAGTGTTAAGATACATTACTAAAACATTGTCAAAACAGAAATTTCCAGCAAGAAATTCTAAATTTTATGTTATCGATTAGTGCAACAATGATGGGCTTTAAGGAAAAAAATCGCATTTTTTGTGTGAAAAACAGATACAGGTAATTGAAAATAAATTCACCTGTTACCAAAATGAAAGGGAAATTTCTAGACACGCAACACGCTTACACACATACAGCAGATATCGAAACTGAAGATCAAAAAAAAGACAGCTGTGACAAACTCCGCCCATTAACGCCAAGCTCCGCCCATGTCTCTATGAAGTACACCTCAATGTATACATCATTTTCTGAGAAGTACCAAATTTAGCAGAAGAACATAATTTGTGAAGTGGATCAAAGAAAAAAACCTATAAGAATCGTTTCATGCTGCGGAAACATTTCTGAGTCAGAAAAATTAATAGCGTCGATTGTATAAATGATAGCAGAAAAATCAGCACCTAGGCAGTAGGGCCATTTTTGTTTTCTTCCGGAATTTTCTTCAATGGAAAATTCATGAAAACGTAAATTACATTGCCTATGCTCTTTTCCACATGAGTCGGTCTTTCAAAAAACACATCAAGTTTCGAAGAAGATGCCTGTACGCTTTGTCATCTTCTCAGAATTAATCACAAGCATTAACAGCAAGAAAAACTTGAGACCCCAATAAAAAGGCATTCTTTTCCAAAGATTTTTATACAAAAGATGTCTCGTACTTTGCTTATCGTCCTCATTTTTCAGGTGGGTCCCTTAGCAAACTTCTTATTGTTAGATATTCAAGTAGATCGATTTGAAACTTATTCGTTGATAAATCGAAAACCAAAATATCGAAAGCTTCCAGGCATTGAGTTTTAACAGAATTTTTATCTCGGTGTCGGATAAAGGAAAGAAAACCCACACTCAACCAGACACGATGATAATTAATAATTCCTGTAAAGATAGGAGCCAAAGTAAGAAAAACTTGGATTTTCTCGACGACCATCTCGTTTGATGGCAAATAAGTAGGGGGAGGGGGGAACATGGTATCATTTCCGTAATCATATTCATTCAATTTCATTCAATTCACTGAATTTGTAGTCATTCAACAGTCACAAGCAAGTTGAATTTTTATATTTACTGACTTAGTCTAAAAGGTTAGACCTGCATGATGATCTACTTTTGTGGTTAGAGTCTACGAATAACTGTGATTTTGTTCCTGTGTAAGAAACCACAAGGAAACCTCCTATGCAAAGAATAGAGTAGATATTTACAAACACAATACCTGCACAATCTCTAGGGGATTTCGCTTATAAAAGAGAAGAAAGTGGCAAACTCCGCCCCATTGAGGCTAGACTCCTCCCACTTGGTCGGATACAGCACTTGCATGCGGAAGTATAGGGCTCTGTCTGGTCGTAAAAATCGCTGAGGTTTGCAGTCATTGCGTGCGCGCGCCTACATAATTTCGCTGGGTATAGGCTAGCAAGCCTGAGTTTCTTCATTTTGTTTCGCGCTGTTTTCATTTTGTTTTCAAAGAATTACTACCATTCACGCTTTCCGCCAAATTCAACGTTGTCTATGACGGCTTACGACTCAGGTGACACTAGACGTGCGCAGTGCGATGGCCGCAAGAAGCAGAATCTTATATACCATTTGATTCAACTGGCTTGGCTTCGGGAAGGCGAGGCTTCGTGACCTAATTAAGACTAGGCGTTGGTCAGAGAGCACTCGCGCGAGAGAGACGCAGGTGCGTTGCGGCGCGAGCGACCCTAATTAGGTCACAAAGCTCCGCCTCTTCAAAGCCAAGCCAGTTGAATCAAAGGCTATTTGGGCACACCCGCTATTGTACATTTATGAAGTCTGAGAAATAATAAATTTAGCTCGAAAATGTCCAAGAACTATTCTGCCAACGTAACAGGTTTTGGATTCAAGGAGGTAAAGTGGAAGTGACCCTAGTAGCTGAAGAAAACACTGGACATAGCTTAGAGGATACTTACGACGGTTTCCTGGATCTGGTAAACATTCTCTCGCTACCTCAATTTTTTGTAATATAGGCAATTTCAGTTCTATGCATATGGTAGAGAGAACAAAATAAACTTCAACAGGAGAAATCTCAAAAGAAAAAACAATTTTGGCTCGACATATGGGTCTAAGTCTATCATGGCAAAGTATCAAGCATACAATATTGACTGCAACAAGGTATCACAGATATTTTTTCGTATTTTTGGATAATCGCTGGTGGAACTCTGCAATGTGAGTGGTTTCTCGAAACAGATCGGCTATATTCGCGCCCAGACCTCTCCTCACTGGGCTCGTTGCCAAATCGAGGTGTACTCAGGCCTTGGCCAGACTTCGCTCGAAAGCGCCCAAAAGCGCCCAAATTTCTCTGATGTCTCTCCAATTTTCGTTTGAGGAGAGATGAGAGAAAGTGAAGAGAAGTTAGAGAAATTTAGGCGCTTTTGAGCGCTTTCGGGCGTCATCGTGCTGGTCTACAATAAGTAAGCTCTTATAGATATTAGACACACGCCATACTTGATCCATCTTGATCCACTTCGCTATTGGTCAGATGAATAAACTGACCAATAGCGAAAGGAATCCACGTCATCTACTTGATCCCCTTCATCCACATCGTGATTGGTCAGTCTACTCAGGCTCCTCCCATTTGCCTGAATATCCGCTGCAAGGGAGAGAGAGCACAACTGCAAATTTTCGAGGATGTTTACACACTAGTTTTTGAGGATTAGCAGATCTAGTATGAAAATGTCGCGAATTTGGAGCCAAATTTGGCTAGGGAAGCTGAGCCCAGGCGCAACAGCCAGTTTTCTTGACAGTGTAAAGCATTTTAACACCTTCATATCCAGGTTATTTTTTCGATTTCTGCCATTCCGTAACAGAGCGTATCTTGCAGCGTTAAGGGCCGGGCATACTTCAGGCGATTTCTCAGGCGACGCGATTTGGCAATCCGCCAGAAGTCTTCAGATTTAACATTAGCAAACTGTACATGCATAGTGTGTACAATTCACGTAGAAAAATGACGATGATGAAATGCTCTATCTTCTGTACATTACGTGCTTACAATGAGTTATGGACATTGAAATATTGCCAAATCGCCCGCGATTGAAATCGGTGACTATGGCCGGCCCTTTGAAGTTAAGACAGACAGGTAGGTCGTCTGGTTCTGATAAACGTATTATATGAAAAGCATATTGTATGAATGGCCATGATGTTCATTATAAATTTGAATTTCAGTTCCAATCTTTCCTGCAAAGGATAAGAGCATGGGAATATCGCTTGAAATTCATACATGTCCGATGCGACCGTATGTCATTCGCAATTTGCATGGTTTTCTCCTGTCCGGAAAGTGAATTTAGAGGCTTGGAAACAATGATAATTGCCAACAATTGCACCCAATGAAATAAATATATACAAAAGAGTTGATCTTATGATCACTACAGCATCATTGATGTACGTTGTGCTTAGCATTATTTTTCAATTTGATATGAGGTGGGTAAAGTAAACGAAAAAATTTACGTGTCAGAAGCCTCAGTTTGAGGAGTGGAAGACTGAACCTTTCCAAATTAGATATCAGTCTTCAAATGTCATATCTCTCCCACAAGTTTCCATAAGCAACAAATAAATGCTCACATAATTACAATGATAAAAATTAAAAGTAAAAGTCAATTCAGCTAATAGCGCCAGACCCCGCCCATAGATGCTAAGCTCCGCCCATGTGGTAGGGATACGTAATAAGCACATGTTCAAGTACAGTCAAACCTGTTTTTATCCTTGTGTATGATTTTCTAAAAAATCATTTTCTGAGCAAAAAAATTAGGAGAAAATAACAAAAATTTGCACATTGCAGAAGCGCTAGTGCTGAAATCAATGAGAATGATTGATAAATAAACAGCAGAGGGACATCAACTATACATCAAGGCTTTCTGTCACCTATTCTACCCCAAAACTGATTTCAGATAGCATAGAGTAGGTGTAAAACTCAGCAACAAATTGTTTCATCCAAATGCTTCGAACGTAATGATGCAGTAGAACGAATTATGAAAAAAATTGTTCCAACGATAACTTTCAAAGGTACATACCACCGGGGATTTGCAGAATGCTCAAAATGTTTCATTTTTGAAAAATCCCCGGCAAACTAGTGTTAGAGAACCGGCGCCAATAGGTGCGATTCGGCTTTTGAAGTGTTCAAAGGACACCGCGACTTTGGGACGCGTCGTCTCGAATATCAAACATAGAAGCAGACAAAACTCATCCTCTATGCTTGCCTTATTTCTTATTCTAAGTATGGCCGTCTTTTTTCCTTTTTGGACCGGCCAATCAGCGCCCGCTTGTAGGGTACAGAGGAGTAGAAATTGATTTTATAACCACGGATCGTAGAGCCCCTTAGTGAGGCTGAGGTCTCTATCAGAAGTATTTATATTTAACTGGGCAACGCAGTCAAGAAGAATTGAATTAGAATGTAGTTAAGAACTATGGATAATAGTAATAGAATGGATAGGCAGTTGTGCAAGTACTCAATATCATACCATTGAATCCATTCGGAACAAGCCAGGGTATGGCTGTATGCTTTATACCAGGTCTTAGTTGGAAACAATTAGTTGCTATCAGTAGTGGTCGCAGGATTTCTCTCCGAGGGAGGGGACCACCAAACGCCGTCTAACTTAGCAAGTTGTAGCTTCAGGTGTTTAGTAAGCTTGAGCACTTTAACTGATATTCTTGAAAGACTCCTCAGCTCTAAATTGGGCGATTAAACTGATGACCTTAGGGAAAATCGCTCTCTTGACCGTCTTCCCAAATAAATTTAGAGCGATGGCGAAATAAAAAAAGGGGCAGATAGAGTGTGGAAACTTAGAAATGAGTTCTGCAAATGTACGATAAGATTCTAGCTGGAGAAATATAATAGAATGTGATTTATATTCTTGTTATATGTGATGGGTAGTATAGATTGAGATTTGACATACATGTAAGGGTATGAAAAAATACTCATAGAAAATGCGAGAATTCGCCAGGGCAAAAAAATTCTGTACAAGAGTTCATCTGACATATGCAAGGTGCAAGATCCCCTAAACTAAGAAAGGCAATTTGCTCGGTTTGACGGATGGTTATGAACGATGAGCGCATCGAGTCGTGAGCTGAGATTGGAAAGGCGAAGCAGAACTGACAGATTACTGGTAAGTCTCGGAGGACAATGTAAGACGTGCCTTATCTATTAGGCATCCATCATTGTTGCAAGCCGCATTGGTGCACGGCATTATGAGGCTCGAATGGATGTGAGGTGCTGCCCAAGACCGATGAGCTGCGCTACTTTGATCGAGTGCTTTCTATAGAAGAAATAGTGAGAAAGATGCTTTTGGAAGAGAAATTTTGCCACTCTACGAAGCCTGGAAGGAAGGCAGACAATGTGGCCTCGCCCCTGATACAGTAATCCTACCGTAACCGTGACGCTGCTCAGACTTTGAGAATTCCTCAATCATGTCATTACGCAGAAAACTTGATTCAATTGCCTGCGCAAAAATTTTCTAATTGCAGCATCATATATCTGAAGATCCCCAAAGTCGCAAAAATTGCCAATCTAATATATATAGAATCGCTTGTTCAGTTGAAAAACCTTTCGGTAGCTAGAAATTGCGGCGGGTCCCGAAGCGAACGCTCTTTCAAATAGCACCTTTAGCTTACTGGTTCACTAGGGGGAGACGGTCTTTTCGCACGGGCGGTCTCCAGCGTCTCCCTGATTTTGACTTGTCTTAACATGTAATGCATGCCGCAAATCGTTCCTCCCCCTATTTTGCTTAGGCAAAAGCCGCCGCAGGATATTTGCGCGCGGCGGTGGTCCTGTGGGGGAAAGCATTACGGTCGTGCTAATCGTCCTACACCTGTTTACTAGGTTCGGAAAAGAAACGTATAAGAAGGAAGCAATATTGAGTCCATACATAATTGGAGTTGCCTTATACTAGTGATCAACCGCTCTAAATTTTTTCTGAAAGAAACGGTGGGAAATGATTTGAAACAGAATTAGCCATTCCAAGGAGCATAGAAGGAAGACTGTTTGAATTCGCCACTATTACAGTAGTCATACCGTAACCCCAACGCTGCTCAAAAAAAATTCCTCGCTCGTGCTACGGTGTAAAGAATTAACAGTATTTACCGGAGCCAGGAAATGTTTTGGCGACCTAATTATAGCAATAAATAATGGGAAAAAACTTTGAAAGCTGCATCATACATAACTCCCGAAAAACGGATAAGAAGAAGCAAATTCTAGTCCAAATATGGATGGAATTGCTCTATACATAGTACTTGACACCAGCTCCATTTACTAATGGGTGGGCATAAAAAATAAAAGCTTCGGTATACCTCGGCAAAAATTTTTGAACTATAGTGTTTCTTGACAGCAAGGTTCTGATTTTTTTAATAAACACGGTGCAGAGACGGTGATAAAAACAAAATTAAAAGATGACTGAGGTCCAACAGAAGGAATTTTCAGAATATAGGGTTTTTTTTAGTATGGATTGCTTCTTTTAACAGAAGAAACATTCTTGCAAAGATACGAATTTAGAGCAGTAAAAATTCGTAACAGGAAAGAAGGTAGAGGGAGACAGATGTTTGGAAATATAGGACCTTCACAAGCCAATATATGGAGAGTAGGAGCTTCCGACCATATGCATAACGAAAAAAAAAGCATAGACTATTTTCGCGAAACGTAAAAAGTGTAAGTTCAAAGCATGAACATATTACCACATTCGTAGAAAAATGATAGAGCGGCAAATGTAGGAAAGAAAAAAGTATGTGATCAGTCAGAATAAAAAAAATTACGAAGGGCGACAGAATTGAAAACGTTTCATATGAGCAAAAAATCTTATGTTATGAGGAGAAACGCTAAACTTGAAAAAAATCACGAAATAAATAACGAACGTGGAGTACAAAGTGCAAATGAACAATGCTTGCCCATGATGATTGAATAACGATCGATAATACCGTAATTTGCCCTACTTGATCTTGCAACTCTCCAGGTACTGTAGCTTTGTGGACTGTTGTTTTCAACTATAAGAGGGTTAGAAGCGACTCATTTTGAAGACTGAAATGGATAGATGGAATTTCTAAAACTGATGCCAACTCAATATTGTTTACCCGACTGAAATTGACCGCATTTGCAGCTAAATATGTAGCAAGAGTCCCTAACAATACACAAAGCTCACACAATCTATCAGATTAGCAAATTAAGGGAAATTAAAGCCTTCAGTACATGGTTGTGTAATCCTATAGATTTTTATATGCTTCTCCTTCATCCCAGAAACAGATTATATAGAGAATTGTTGTGCCTTTTCAAAAAAGGTGGAATTTCGGGAAATTGCGCGGCTCCCGCAACGAACGTGCCTGCAAATCTAGCACCTTTAGATTGATGGTTCGCTAGTCTTGGCAACAAATTTTATCATATAAATCTTGCCTATAATTCTTAAAAGAGTTTTTAGCCAACTCTAACATCTCAATTCAAATTTTTCAATGAGCAAGCCGAAATTCAGTCATGTTTCTTTCTTAGATTACTTTTCAAACCGATAATTTCTTCAATTTATAGTAGTCCAATGAACCTTCCACTTTGTCAGCATGAAAAGCTCATTTTTGGGTGAAATCTTAATTTTAGGCCGCGAATAAAAAAGCTCAGAGTGATTGTAAGGACATTGATCGGACCCTAGATAAATATATAGATAAGGTGGCAAATTTTTCAGTAAACGTCTTTGAATAAAAAAGAATTATTAGAGATCAAAGAACACAGGATGCAATAAAAGGAAGCAAGCAAAATTATTTCTTTTAGTTCCAAGTATGAATTATGAGCGAACAGGAAATGATATTTGCGAAAGAAGCATCAAAGACTTAAATTCAAAAGAATAAATTCAAAGGAAAACGCATATGGGTATTCCACCCAGGCGAAAGACTGCAGCAAAGGCGATTAGTAGCGCTGGAGCAGCGAGGCCGCCCTCCAGATGCGCTTCTAAGAACATCATTGTTAATCGAATGTTAACTAGTACAAATTGGCAACATCGCCCCGTGACAGCCTCAACGGGCGCTTACCCGCCCAAGAAGAATTATTATGCGTAAACAGCAGGGGCCGTAAAATGCACGACCATCTGCTCACAAGTAGCATTGTCTAAGCCCGAAATCGCCATCGGGTGTAGAATTGCTCAAATGTCTGAATATTTGGGGAAAGAAGAGTAGTCCTGGAGGAATGTGGGAAAGATGGGTGGGCAAAACCGAAAGTTCGCAAATGTATAACGAGTGTTGCAAATTTTTCATTAAATCATTTACTGACATAAACCATAAAACCAGAAAATCTTCGTTATTGGCTTAATGGATGCAATTTATCGACTTTAAATGTCAACAATTTTTTTTATTTTAAT